TCCCACTCCGAGCAAGTGCTTCTTTCTTCAAAGCTAACTGCGCCAGCTGCTTATGGTTTGCTATACTTGGTTTACACACTTAGAGATCACTAGATTATTATTATACAATTTGTGAAATTAAATGGTTACCCCTGTGTCAATTCTCCAGCTCTCGTCTTGCGCTACACTCAAGCTTTCTAAACCATTGTTGCTAGTTCGCAATGCTCAGTTCTAGGTATACCAGAATGACTAGATGGTGGTTAGGTATCCTTTATAGATATCCTCATTTTTGACTTGTTATGGTAATTAGTTTTCAGTTTGAGTTTTTGTCTCTACGCATCATGTTTATGTTTTTGACGGCATGTCGAATGACGTACTAAACAGTAAACAATAAACAATAAAGGATAAGGAAATGAAACGGTATGGGTATCATCACAGAGCACGCCTGTCTATGTTCCCAATTTCTACGGCGTCTTCTGTGCAACTCCCCTCCTTGATGTTACTGCATCTATCGCCAGGGGAAGAGCACTGCTCGGATTTTCTCGACTTACACAGATGCAGATAGGAATTCGAATGTTTGAACTTTATGAACGAACAGTGATCAAGGGCACTGTCCTGTATGCCGAAAAATCGAAGATCAGCTCTCGATTCCATTTACGATTTTGTCACGCGACTTTTTGATGACTGTAGAACCACGGCACTTAAACAATGAGTTAATCAAGACTTCGAATGGAGACCAAACAGCCAACAACTTGAATGTTGGGTCTAAAGAACGCAGGGAAGCACCGAACGAAAGGATTCGTGGAATCGTGTAGTGGGCTAGCATCATTAGGTATTCAACGTAGCCCAGAACGGAATAAATTAGCGTCAAAAACTTTGCCCTCCATAGAGTGCTAGGACATCGAGTGGAAAATGTGACCAAACGAACATGGAGTTACCTTTCAGAAAAGCTGAGCAAGTACCTGATTGTTCTAGAATAATTCAAGTTGGTACACTTTTTTTTATAAAATCAAAACCAGTGAACCACAGCATTCTATGGCCGCCTTCATCAGATGAGTTTTTCTTGAATCGTTTGCATTGCTGTTGATTAGGCCGAATTCATGCGCAGTGTGACAGAGTAATTCTTACTTTGGTAAGCACAGCTGACTGGCTTCATTTGAGGTTAAATATAGAATACCTCGGCTATGGCTTGCCTCAACAACTTTGTTGAATGTTTATGGCATGTGTTATGCCGTAGTGGTGTGTTTATTATCCGTTGGTTGTTTATCGCATACCCGTCGATAAACTTCGACGTCTTATTTACAGTTGCTACCTCACCCTGCCACCATTTCCTTTCGTTATTCATTAAAGTCCTCACATGCTTATATGGCAGTTGCTTTTGCGTGTAAGCGGAAGTTTTGGAATCAACTGGAAATGGTCCGAAGCAATTTAAAAAAACATAAAATACTTATAAGTGTTTAGTTCTCAAACCCAACAGGATTTCGAATTCATGACGCGATCCCACTGCATTTTAGTATAGTAAACTTTAGGTGCTTACTGGATCATAGTTCATGTGTCGTAAGGAACTAATGGGAGGCTGTGGCTTAATTGGGGATATGGGATTATCTATTACGCATATCAGTGATTTGGAGTCCAGATGGAGAGCAACTTTTTGTGGAGATTATTCGAACTGGTTGCTGTGCAACGCTCTCTTCATGGAGCAATCGTGCTCCAGACGCACTTTTTGCCCCCGAGCGATTGCGCTCTCGGAGTTTTTCGTCATACTGAATATCCCATTTTTTCTTTTATGGCCTTTACTCCAACGAACCGTAGTAAAGTTGTTGATGCATCCATTGGGCCCTCTTCCCTGTGAAGTTCTAGCTCACCTAAATTACTGTCTGAGCTCTTGAAGGAATTGCGACTTCGATTCCCCTTTTTAATACTTTTGGATTGATATAACTTCGAAGATTGCACAGAATCTTATAACCTTTTATGTTTGAATTGCTTTTCATTCCAGTAATGAAAGCTGCTCGAAGCAAGCGAGGTTGTTCAGAGGATACCCACTCAAAGAGTAACTCTAAATCGTTATAAATTTTTCGTAGTGGAAGGACTTCTGTAATGTAGAGTTCGGCTCTCGATACTTCTATTGAACTTACAAACATAGTACTATGAAAGTATCAGCGAAGATTTTTTCTACAATTTGTACTTTGTGAACCGAATGGTTCTTTCGAGTTCCTAGTACATAATTCAGTTGAGGTTGAAGTCGGAGCTGTTCGGAAACCTGACTCACTTATTCTCTAGTAATTTAAGCTCGAGTAGTGCTCGACCGAATTCATGAGTTACAATTGCTGAGGTTTTGATCTTTTATATTTTAGTGATTGTCTGCACAATTACATGACTGATATGATATCGTTCCCCCATATTCCGATTCCCATATGTATGTGAGGGGAACGATATCATATCACGCTGTTATGTTCAACATCTGTAGTTGCCATAGTTTCGGGGCCTGCCATTAGCTCTGCTGCTGTCCAACTAGTAGCTGCGCTTGTGCATTTTCCCAAACGGGCACTTAAGCATGAAGTCGTGAACGAGCATTATTCATACGGCCACATCTAACTTTTGTCATTATCCGGCTGCGATTTTTTTTTTGCGATCCCTTGGACAGCGAAAGGTTCTGTGAATATTAACCTAATTTTTGAGCAAGAGAATTTCGTTTTGTATTGGCTTACATTCGAAGAGGTCTCTTTTGCACTTCGATAATTTCACTTTGTTCACCTCTCGATATGAAGGCGCTTGACTTCAGAACTTAGTCCTCATTCAACTTGAAGCCGATTAGGGATACGTTCTGTTGCATCCGCTACAATACTACATTTCAGTCCTGTTCATATTAACCTGTTTTCTGGATTGCTTTTTTTTCATGTTTTCTTGTAGATTTACACTATTTGTAATAGTTAACCCTTGTGTAGATTTCACTTGTGCCCAGTGATTTTCCTTGGTGGTGTTAGCTTGCTAAATCATGGAATGACCAGAAATCTGTACGTGTTTCCAATAACCTCAGGTATCTGGACGACTAAATACAAATATTTTAGTATTAACAATATATAATATAGTATTTATTGATATTTCTTTGGAACTCGTAGGTGTACAGAGCAAGGTGAGAATAAGCACCAATATACTAGTGATATGATATGTATTTCAGACTGATCTTTTGTATTACTATACTATTCATAGTTCTGCCAATGGAGATTACCTATCGGAGAAAAGGCGTTTGCAAATTGCTCTGGATTATCAGATGTATATCGATTTTAGGGGATATTTCGATGGCCGGCGCTTATTCAACACCTACCGTGGCATACGTGAACGTGTGATTTGTAATTGGGATTCTGTAGGGAAGTAGCTGCGGAGTTTGCATTTCAAAGTGTGGGCTTTTTGGCGATTACTTGCTCTTTCGATGAAAGGTCGAATTGTCCACCAGGAAGTGGCACTCGTTTCGGTCTGCTCGAAATCGAAAAGGCCTTCCCCGTTTATGTAGTCGAGCAGCTTTTTCCTTTAGTTCAGTTTAAATGGGCAAGTTATGATTGCACTTGTCATCAGCTGCGGTCAGTCTTACCTTTCTTCAACCTTCGTCTTCTATAGTGTTGATTCTGAAAACGCTGTTATAATTCAATCCCTCGAAATTGTAATGATTGACCAAAGATATGGGCTCGTTCGAAAAGCACGAGTTTCCCAACTTTTAATGAAAACTGGCTTGTCCATTGCAATGTCACTGAACATAGATTAATAAGTGAAATGTCATGTGGTCAGATGATTGCCCTCGTGATCGTTCCCAACACTGTGACGTTAGTCATTTCCTGCGGGGGGTCGTATGTAGGGTGTTTCGAAAAGCGAATTGGTGAACGATAGCACAGACGAAATAGTCTGCATAACAATTCCCTGAAGTGGCAGCAGTTCTCATGAATAGTGAGTGGATCTTTATATTGCTGTTTCCGATTGCTTTTTCTTCGTCGTCTAAACCCCAAAGGGCCACCATCCCTCACTACACTTTCATCCTAGACTTATGCATAATTTTGGCATAGTTAGGCTATGCAGACTATTCATTTCATCCTCCCAAAACTTGTATGATATATTCCTCGCTTTAGACAAACAGGACAGAGTCACTTCGATCATCTGAATTGAATTTTAGTGAGTGTTCAACTTCCATAAGAATTTCATGTGTTTCTCCAGATAGCAAGCCAAAGTAGGCCTGTGCTTTGTGGCCTTCATATGGAACTTTTCGAGCTGATCATGAAAGTTCAAAGAAGTTGAAACACCTGCAGTTGTTCGTCTAGCGGCACCCTACAAAATAGACGATCATCCATGACCATGTTGCTCATTACTCCCTTCAGGATTTGTGATTGGGACCAGCATGGAGATAGACAAGAATGTCGCTGACATTCCGGTGGTCCACCATCGACCGGCCGGGCGATAAGAGAGATTGCAGTCTACGCTATTCTTGACCGTCCGCTTGTAGATACTGTAGTAGTTCTAATTGTGATTTTCTTTCCTCCTCAGGGTGTCCACTGCCCTTGATGCAAACATTTATAACTTTGAATGTTCTCAGAAGAGGTTTTTGTGTTTTCAACAGTCGAGAATTAAGATCTTGGATTTCTCAGGAATTCATTGAGGATCTCTGCACCTATACATGGTTTATTGAAATTCTCGAGCTTCTAAAGAAATTACTTCGGCAAAACGTTTTCCTCGTCTATTTTCATTGATTCCCAACCTTTTACTTGATCCCAAATTCCTTCTCACCATCTTGTAGTGACGGATGAGACCCTATCTTATGTACAAAGAATGGGATGTGGTTAGTTGTTCGAATTGGATTACATTGCGTAATGCAAACAATCTTATCAATGGCCTAAGCGATGGCCCTCAGACGTTATATCAACATTGCTTTCGACTGCCCTGATCTTCGCCTAGTCCTTGTGATAATCATCTTCTTGAACTTGGTTTCAGGGTTCTCAGCGGCTTCTGGCTGTGGCTGTTTGGCGCACGGTGATTCTATGGAGGATGGCGACTCGTCAACGAATACTCTACTCGTATCGTTGCGAGAACGCGAAAGTGTCTTCTATGCCGTTGGCCGACTCCCTGCCAGATTGCCTCAGGTTTGTTCAATACACTCTCTTTTCTGTTCGTCGTGGTCGTATAGAGCTTTTATGTCCGATCAAGGCTGGCCATTAAATTTGCGGCACTATTTGAGGATAGAGCTTGATTTATAGCTATCTCGATTAGGTGTAGTAATAAGATTACACATTCGTTAGAGTCATGATTTTCTAGCAGAATTAAGGTTTATCGAGGATATCAAAACTGAAGATCGTGAGTGATGGAGGGGTGCCAATTGATTGCCTTATTTTATTTAAATCCTATTCGTAGATGCTCCAGAAAAGTACGAGTATCTTGCTTCCGTTTTATAGAGCGTTGAAAATTCAAAAGCAATGGGAAGCTGTTTTTTTTCTGGTAATGAGTAGTTTGAGGCTGGGGTGGTTTTATTTTGTGCTTCTTTGATTTTCCTGCTATTGATTCATTTTATATTGTAGGGTGATGGTGTGATTGGTTGGCCATGTCGTGACCGAGAAGCTGCTTGGATCTGCTCCGCGGCCCGACGACTTGGCCTCGACGTCGACTCGTTCACGTTGGCAGTAGCGCTTCTCGACCGGGTCATCTGTGGTACGAGAGTCCCAACGAAGTGAGTATCGATATGTCTGTTAGGATGATCAAGTGTAGTTACTTGTCAGAAATTCTGATCCGTTTTTCGACTTTTCCTATCCCTTTCATTTCAACCATAGAGTTCCTCCTAAACCAATGTTGCCAGCTGACAGAATAATGATGAAAAAGTCTATTGATTGGCCCTTCTCCTCAGTTGATACCCTCTCCGCAGAGCGTTCGATTCCTTCTGAGACCGTCAGAATGTGATCCTTCAGTTCTCCTGGGCTGCAAGGCATCTGCTGAGTTGCTTAATTTCATGAAAAACTGTTGAATTCATCCGCATCTCAAATATGTTATTTAAATATCTCTTTATTTTATAGAATATATCTCTTTACGTTTTTTCCCTACATTCCCGGATACAACTACAGCCAATGAAAAGTGAAGTCGAACACAAGCGATGTTCTTGTTTCTTTTTGTTTGTCTTTCGACGAGAGTCGGTTCCTTGTTCGCAAATCTGACTGATAAGAAGGTGTTGACCACTCTCTCGTGATGTTTTACGATGTGATCATATGCTGTGATAATTTTGAAAGCAGTAGGTAGCTCCTGGAGTGACTACTAGATTAAAACGTTGAGTTCAAACCAGGTTCTGAAGCCGTTTTCTCAGGACGATTTGCGCGCTTTTCTAGTATTTCTTTCTCTCTTTCATGAGCATTTTTGATGGAAATGGTAGGCAAGTTCATGACTCCATAATAACCAATTGTTGGGCTCAGTGAGGCGATATGGAATGTTTCACATGAATGTCAACTCGAATGAAGCGTGTTGGGATTAACTTAATGGAAAAGGGCGTAGTTATGCTTTTTATTGATGTAATGTTCTAAGAATCACAGCAAACCAACCGTTAGTTCATTGTGTTTCATTTGCCCGAGTGGGATTTTCAAGTACATTCAATTTTCGCTAGCTTCACTTCGAAAGAATTGGAAATACTGAAAATAATATTTCAACTGAATATTGAGAAATTATTTGACTTTGAGCAATGAAAATCTTGGAAAGCTTGAATTTTTTCGGGGTAACTCTAGATTTAAGGCGTAGGAGCGAGTGGAAAATGGCTCCATAATATGTTTCAAGCTGGTGTTAATTGCGATAATTGAATAATTCTTAAGTATTCAAGTCCTTTCTCCTCAGGAAACAGTACTTGCATTTTGATCAGAAATGGAGAGGATAAGACCGACTAGTTTTTGATCAGGTCAGTAATGTATTGCTTCAATTTATGATTTCAGATATGTGAACTGCGTGGCAGCTGCATGTCTTTCGTTAGCAAAGAAGTTATGTGAAGATCATGAAGAAGACGCATCTCTGTTCCTACAGAGGCTTCGCCTATCTTACAGTGCTAGAGAATTGAAGCGCATGGAATTGCGTATACTAGGTAAGGCTTTAGTGTAGAGGTTTCACCCTCTGAAAATTTTATTCGCATGGCTTTATAGTGCGTTACTTCTTGTTTATATGTAGATCTCCTTGGCTGGGATGCGCATCTGCCATCGTTTGATCGGTTTCTGGTGGCTTTGCTGAAGTCCATGGGTGGCGAGTGGTTGGTATCGCCGTTGAGGTCAGCTCAAATCCAAAATTAGCTTTGTCATCTCGCCAAAATATATTTAATTGTTAATTCATTGGGAATTGTTTAAGATAGCCTTTATAGAATTTCGCGTGCATATGGCAAGAAGATCCTTTTTGGTTCATTGAGTACCACACTGTACAAAACTATTTTGTTTTTTCGACTTTTCCCATAAATGCAAGCTACAAGTGTCTCTACTTGCTGTTCTGTTCAATATTTATGATGGTTGTTTCATGATGATTCAATTGATGACTTGACAATTTATTTGTAGAGTGCATGTTGAAGCGATTGTGTGCGATTCATCGGTGATGTCACAGTTTGCTCCTTCAACACTCGCTTTAGCCGTGGTAAGTCTTCTCGTAGAAGCGACAAGCAAGCAATGGATGCCGGCCATTCAGACGCAGATCAAGCTGTGTAAGGTGAATGAAGAGTCGAACATTTATGTCATAAATAAGGCTCTTCTGTGGCTGAACTTATCTTTCTATTTATTCCAGACCGATCCTTGTGAACTTCTTCGCTGTCGTGAGCGTTTATCTAGTATTTGGTCACGCACACTGGTTCCATCTTTGTCCCCTTTTGAACTGCTTTCGCCTCCACTCGAACCTCCGTCAACTGTAACGACGACGTCGTGTCGTGGACCATCGTTGGTCGTCACCGCGAGTCCTGGCGGCAACACGACTACCACCAGTTCTGCGACCGAAGTGATCACCTCACCTTGTGCACCGCAACCCACACCATGCTGATGTGTGAGTTTTTTTTCTGTTTGTTTTAATGTTCGAATACTGTTCGGTTTTGAATAGCGCAGCCTTATTTCTTGCCTCTAATCCGTAGAATTGTGAATAGAGAAAGTGATCGATTTCCTGATTGCCCTTCTGTTAATCTAATTGTGGCGGATTCTGGGTACTCCGAATACGATTATGTTTCACACTTTGCAGCTCATTCAGATTTTAATTAGTTACTATTGTAGTATTTTCAAGTTTTATTTCCTCTTGTTTTCTTATTCCGACTTCCTATTTCATTTCAGTCATATTTTTCAGGTTTCATTCATCGGTTCGGTTCTGATGGTGTGAATAGGTTCCATGCTGTTATGCCGTCCGTGAAATGCCGTGAAATCATGATATTCTGCCAGATGTGCTAAGTGGTGCTCTAGAAACTAACACAATGCCAGTTTCCATCGCCCCTGTCCCTGTTCTTTAAGAACTCTGTGAATATGGCAACGGCAGGTCCGTTCTTAGTGGAAGCAGATTGAGGTCTTCCGTATCTCTCTCTGGTTTTGTCTTTCTCTTCTTGAATATCTTCTCCTGCGTAGTTGTCTATTACTGTTTAGTATTTTTTATAGTTGTGTGGCCCTTGACGCCCTTGAAGGTGTGAATTCAAGACTTCTTGTCTGAAAATTGTAATAGATGATGTCGTGGTAATTGTTATTCCTTTTTTCATGTTAAACATGGGGACATCGTATTCTGTATATATGAAGGTTCTGTGAAGGATTCACAATCTTTAAGGCGTTTCTTGAGGCATTAAGTGGATTAACTCGTGTTGACTAGAGTTTATTATTTCTTGTTTCTGTAAATTACTTTTGCGTTCTTGTAGATTTTCTATCAATTCGGCCTGTTTGATTAACCTGAAGGAGTTGCGTTTGTGTGAATGATTAGTATTACTATCGTCTAGTTACTAGCGAAGTTATACTGGGCACTGCCCTTTTCTTTCTTTTTCCATTCCCCTCCCCTTGTAAATCTTAACCTCTTTCTCACACCCACCACGATGTACTCTGGCAAGAATTTTCAGGCGGACGTGCTTTTGTGAATAAATTGTTGATTTGTTCTTGTGTTTTTTTAGTGAGTATTCACAAAATAGGTTTGCATTACTGGAGCTTGTTAGTATTGCAATGTTCTCGCTTCAGAGTAATTATTTAGATTGGGATGCCTTTTATGACCGAAAAAAGGTGCCTATTCGCTTTCCAGATGAAGGTGGCTAACCGATGAGTGCCTCTTTGGCGGCTTAGTTTATCCAGTGGAATCCGCAGCAAAATTGGAAATCGTATGTGCCACGTTCCCAGATGAAGTTAAAGTTTGCGCATGTTTTTAGATTGTTTTTTTTTCGAGTCCAGTTGAGGTAGAGCAACTATCCGGTCTGTTCGAAGATGTTGAGATTATCAACTGAAATTATCATCAAAATTTCTCGAATTAATGAAGGGTTCCATCAATCCGAGAAGATCTAATCTCCTCTTCTGAAAACTCGGTGGTGTTTTTCAGCTTCATTTGAGAAATCTTGTGCAACACATGGTCAATAGTGTCGGATCGATTTGCCATCTTCGATCGGCGATTGGAGAGAAAACCAGTCTTCGAAGGGGACACCATGCAGTCGTTGCATCAGTGGTTCGCTATTTGGCGAATTTTGTACGTATTGCCATTAAAATTGCTTTCATTGATGTGCCTTTCCATACTTTCTCCTCCATATGCCGTATTTAATTGGCAAAACCAATGACATTCTGTATTAATACCCAGTGAGAGTGCTAGTTCTGAAAACCCCTCGATACATATCGGAACCTTTTCATTCACGGCAGAATGGCCGAGGAAAACGGCTTTGATTCCAATCAGTAAGCAGAATTACGGTTACCTTCATTCATTACCTCTTAAATTAACCTGTTTCAATTAACTGTAGTTGAGAGTTTTGTAACTTTTGTAACTAACTCAATATTGTATGCTTACAGTACTTGCAAATGTTGTGACTGTTATGATGGGCTCAAATCAGCTTTTTTCTATGTTATGATGAATTTTCCAGCAATTCTTGGATTTCCCCATTCCGGACCTGCTCATTAGTTTTTGCCCTTCTGATGAATCGCTATCGAGTTATTTCTGTCCCTACTTTATGATGGAGCAGAAGATTAGTAGGAAACCTCTCTTCCACCCATTTTCCACCCCCCCCCCCCACTTCACTTTCATTCTATGTATAATGAGTTCTTGTGAGTTTCAACGTTTAAAAGGTGTCGAGTGAGTGCTTCTACCCCGGGACCTCTTCCAATGACGCTCAACCCTTTGGGCTGACAAATCCCGTATTTCGTGCAGTATGAAATCGAGTGAATAACATCGTGGTTTACCGCTAATCCTCCCATTTGGGGTATGTCGGTAGAGTGGGCGCCCCCTCCCCCTCCCCCTATTGAGCGTGGAGTAGAGCGAACCTGAAGGGCTTCACTGATGACAGAAGGTCTTGCTATAGGTATACAACAATGATGTAGTTGAATTGGGAATGTTGCCTGAACCCATCCAATGATGATATGAAAGTTCAAAGCCAAAGTGAAGGAAACTTATTCCACTTGACATTTCAGTGATCATATGCCAAGTTCCGATGACACACTTGTAACTGATCAATGCTCCGTTTCTTACATGACACCATGGGCAACCGTGGTTGCTCTCACCACCTGTTATCTTCTTGTGATTCTGTGGATTTGTAAAAGTAAGTTATCGATTGCATTCAAAAGACTTCCATAGCGAAACACGGAGCTCGGTAATGAGTTGCATTCATATAAAGTAAGGCACTCCTTGGCAGAAATGAAGTAACACCTTGTGGCCAGGTTTTTCATTCCTCTGGTTCAGATACAGTTCTAGATTAAGGGATGAGGTGATTACTGTTCACTAATGAGCTTCTGAGTTCATTCAAACTCGTTCTTACAGATGGAAAGAAGATGTGCCTACCAGTACCAGATAGTCTTTTTCCTTATCAGAAACAACTAAAACAGTTAAAAAGAGGTGAGGAATTTAATTTAAAGTTGGTGCGTTATTAAGAAGTTACTTAGATGCAGATCTCTCGCGCTACCTCGTCGAAGACAACTGCATCGAAATTTTTGGTAGCCCCTTGGCTCAAACCCCACAAGGAACACTTTTCCGGGGAACAATTATTCCGCGAGTGAAGCATCGGACAACGGAACGAGTCCCGGTGGCTGTGAAGGTGAGTGGCTCTTGGAAACACTTGAACTTTACTTTGACGTTGGATCTGTTCTAGGTGAGCCATCCGAACCCAAAGTACAGTGTCGCGCTCTTAGAAGAATCAGCGCGGATCTGTCGTCTTGCTCATCCAAATATCTCTCGAATTTTGGCTGTCTCTCAGCTGTCATTTACTGTTCTTCGTCCAGCAGTAGCAGTGGAATGGCTTGCCGGTGGCAATCTCGCCGACTATTTCCAGCATCAAATCCGAGTTCGTGAGTGATGGCTGAGGACTGACTACGCTCTGAGAGCTATTTGTTATTTTTCAGGATCGTGAAGAACGTCAACGCCCACAGATATTGCTCAGGGATGTCCTAGAAGTTTTGCTGCAGGTGAGCGCTGCTCTGAGGCACTTCCATGAAACTCTTGGCGATGTCGCACATGGAGCAGTGACAACGGAGAACGTCCAGTTGACTTCTCGAGATCTGCGACGGTGAGTCGAGCTTTTCACCTGATTTGATAGGTCCGAAATTATAAAATTCTCAGACAAATAAGTTGGAGGCGCACCTACACCTTTACCCGACCCTGTGCCTGTGACGGTTTTGATTGCCAGAACATATCTATAGGCTTTTAGGGACTGGGGACCTGAACGCAACCCTGCGTGGTTCGTGGCTGCGATGTAGTCGCAGCAGCGGTGGTACGTATCAACCATCTAGTCCCTGCAGTGTCATGTCTGAAAACCCAGTCTTCCTTTAAAATGAGCCCGAAATCAGCGCTGCATTCGCCGAGGTGCTTCGGCCATTAAGTAGGACCGCGTCTTCATAAAAATTGTCATTCCTTAGTTTTATGGATCCCTCAATTGAGATGTACAATCAAACTGAGCTGCCTCTATCCGCCTACAACGTCGCGCTTGCCACCAGAAATCGTCTGCTCCACGGAGCGAAATCCCAAACGCAGACAAGAAAGTGATATTTGGTGAGTTATAATTTCGTTGTATTGGGAATACTCTGCGGTACTGCTCATTGTACAGGATGTTTGGTGTACTTTGCTGGGAAAGCATGACGTTGGGGGCCGAGCCTCACTACCAAAGAACACCTGAAGAAATTCAACGGTGAGTTAATCCAAATATAAAGACCCCAATGATCTTAACTTGATAATTTTGTTGATCCCGATAGGGATTCAGAATATTTGACAATTCAGATGTTATCGGCTACCAGATCGTGGTTTGACTTGCCCACAAGGGTGTCCATTGGATGTGTAAGTGAAATTTACTTTTTTTTNTTTTTTTTGTCTCGAAAGCGCATTTACAAACTTTCGAGTACCAAAGTTATGATTCTAGTTGGTCGCTAGCCATGGAATGTCTATCGGAAGCACATCGTCGGCCACGTTTTGCTGGCGCTTCGCCCACATTGGTCGACAGAGTGCAACAGCTACGCAATTACTACATACAATCTATGGACTGTCTCTATCCCGTGCCAAATATTGGTAATTGTACATGTGCTGAGCACAAATGTAAGAAAGTAGAGAGTTTTGACAGGGAATGAATATTCACGGACCTCAACTGGCTTGGATTTTGTTTAAATTTTCAGAGAAGGGCTTTACGTCCAATGGCCATACGACTCATCGAGTCAACTATCTAACACAACCAATAAGACATGCCGCGCAACAAGGCAACTATTCTGTAATGGCCGCTTGCATGAGCACCACCCACTTCTATCCTGGGAGTCATTCCACTCGCATGTAGCCATAATAGAATTTCATGTTGCAATGGTGAAATAACTTTATCGCTTTCAAATTCAAAAATCTTACTGTATATGGAACCATCTACCGTTTTACAAAGCAGCAACATAACAGTTCATAGTTGATAATTGGTTGTGAGTTGAGTTCATAGCTCTCCGCAATTGGAGATGACCACCAGCTTGGAGGTGCGACCTTTTTGAGCTCCTGCTCCTGAAAAAAATGATTAGGAAAAAAANTTTGAAAGTTTTAGCATTTCAAGGACGACCGTCTCACCTTCTAGTATACCATAGCTTTCCATTTTATCTAGAACGTCGAAACCTTCAACGAGTTCACCAAAGGCGACATGGAAGTTATCCATCCTGAATGAATCCCATAGTAATAAATGGCCATTTACGTTGATATCCAACGATATTAAATGATATCCAGTAATAGAAATCGCTCTATCCGACGAACAATTACTGTCGCCGATGACAACGTGCTAAGGGTAACTTACCACGGGGTATCGGTGAAAGTAACGAAAAACCGGCTAGAATTGGTGTTAGCCCAACCAAAGTTGTCCATTGAAAGTATACCTCTGAACCAGTTTTGGTGTAAATCGCAATTTGATTCGGACTTCCTTTCAAACTAACTTTTTATCATGACTGATATCATAGTTTTCATCATCAAAGTATTTCGTATCGAAGGTGCTGTGACCGCCTTTACGATCCTGATTTTGGGTCTCGAAATCGCCTGACTGAACAAAAACTGCCACCGAAGTCAACATCTTACAAAACTCTTTCGAGCTTATGGAAAGCTTAAAACTAGGTACGGAAGTTGTTTACTACTTACGCAAGCACAAAATCCCGGTACGATCCGATACCAGTGACATCCCTTATAGCCGTATCCCTTCTCGCCAGTGCACAGCCGACGGAAGTTTTCACTTGTCTTTGGGCAGACTTTCGTGTTCAGCTGAAACATGATGGGAAGAGCCTTCAGAGAACTCTCAACTCTTAGACTAACCTAAAAAATTTGAAAGGTTGGAAAACAATGTAGTTAACTGTTTAACTGCTCATTTAGTTGGCTGCAGGAGTAAGCCACGCATCAGATTTCTATTCGGAAACGGAGGCTTTTTTCGAAGGCATAATTTCCGCCAGACTATTTCACTCAGGGATTGTCTGGAGAAATTTATCGAAAATGAAACTCTCAATGAAGCTGTCAGTGTAGCAGTGGGAGTTGTTTAATCATTTCTGGGCAGGCCTGAAGATACGAACATGTCAACAAACTCCTATACAGCTGTGCAAATATCATATCGAGTAGTAATACGTCATGTGTTGCCTTCTGGTAAATCTCGATCTGACTTTTAGGGATCGGCTACAGATCACCTGTAGTGCTATAAAGGGTTTCTGAAAATAAAAACACAATCAGCTTAGTAGGTTAACCAGATTGCAGCTTACCTCGAATACAAGTCGTCCGATAGGTTCGCCATCTGCTGTGATATCCATGAACACCCGTGTCGGTTTCGCAGCCATCTGAGCTTTCTATAATAATTATTCGAGTTTTGGTGAGAAAGCATTCGAATAGTCCGCCTAGAATCCGTATGATGAACGCCTAATGCCAAAGAAAAGAATTGATTATGAACCATGAAGGGGGACCTTGCCTGTTCAGAGACGGACTTTATTGGCTGCGATTCATGAGGTCTATTATAAAAGAAGGGAATGATGAAGCCAATAAAGATCGGAATACCAAGGAGCATGCAAATGCAGAGAAGGGTCAAGATTGGCAAGAAAAAAACTCAGAATATGACAGAACGACTTCTGAAAATTCTCGTCATCTTTTCCCAAATAACTTATTGCTAAGTGTACAGATCACGTTTACGATGCACTACATTGCATATTCAGGTGGACCAATGTGGAACAGCTTCATTCAGTACTATAGATCGAGGTGGATACTCTCATTACACAGATCGGACCATTGTGTTCCTTTTGACGAGGTTTCTCAGCTACCGGTATACTGTGGTAGTGTAGGAGTCGCGAGTAGGGAGCCGTTTAGATGCCTGGCTGCCAAGTAGAAAGAGCATAGCGCACTGTAAAAGTATGGACCACATTCAAAACGATCCTACTCATAGTGACAGACATATGTATATACCTTGTAGCGCTCTGATTCCGCTTTATGGATCTCAATACTATAGTAAATGTTGAGTAACCAATCAAACAAAGAAATTTTATTTGCCCTTAAGTGGACCGGCTGATTCATTCCAAATGGAATAGTAATGTTTTCATTTCAAATGACGTACGTTGTTGTTTCGTTTGTTTCGTTTTTTCTACCCCCACAAGAACAAAGGGGGACCATATGGAAAAACATTATGTCATACCGTGTACAGGTGAGCTGTTCCTGTTTGAGCAGCTTTGGGAGCAGACCAAATAAAAGCACTACCTGGAGGATGGTGCCAAACAGCACCCTGTACGATGACGTGCCTCATTTCTTCACTGATTCTCGTATTAGCTCTGACTACAATACATGGTGAACCGGTTGGTACAAAGTTTCTTTTACCTTCCCCTAGATTTACTTGAAGAAGACCATTTGACCTCTGTAGATAAAAAAATCAATCTCAGTAGGCCAGGACGGGCAGTGTACTCCAAAGAGACGAGCTCTTTTCGTCTGGCGACGTTTGCTCTTTTTATTTTTCACCTTTGACTTGAAGATTAACTCAATTTCCGTACTGCAACAATCTAACTTCTTTTTCTTTTTTTGGGCGCTTTTTCTTAATTTTTTTTCAAATACTTTAGGAGGTGTACCTCCCTTTAGCTTCATTTTGATGAATTCTGGGCAGAAGAAAGTTCTCTGCTAATATTTTTGTGCCAATCCAGAGACAAAGCGCTGATATTGATGCTCCCTCAGCCGATTGCTCCGAATAAACAGCATCAACTGTCACATTTAGAGTCCTCGTTTGGGTGCTGGCCATTTTGAATAATCAACCTCTATTTTCTACCCTTCGTTGTCAAAGTGGAAAGAGTTGTTTTCCAGATAAATGGAAAAGATGCTGAAGTTCTACCACCAATCACTACGAACCCACTTGACCTTCAGAAGCTCATGGTAAGGTTTTCAACTGGTTCAAAACCAAGATCCTCATTGATTCAACAGCTGTCAGGTGATTTTCACTATCGAACAGTGTAGTTGAGACCTGTAATTTCTACTAATTAATCTGTGGCTTGCTCTGACTCGGCCCACGATCACAAGTAATACAGGAAAAAAGCAATAGTCAACATTTTCATTGCGAAGATTAGTCTGGACTATTAAGCTAGCTGAAAACCATTGTTTTCAATCTGATTTCTTGGAGAGAGGATATTCTAACAAAGCTTCTGTAACCAACTGTAGACTTCAGCCCACCCGCTCAATAAATTTCAGGAGATGTTCGACAATTTTGCTAAAAGCTTGTTCGGACAATTTGGCTCCAATGTTGGTTATTATTTTGTGTGTATGATACGATTATAGATTTAGAATTTTATGTAGACAGCTTATTAATAGCGTTGTAGCAGCATCGTAGCAGTGCATCCTGTAGTTCGGCTAGGGAGTACTGAAAATCAGCAACGTGGGTTGTTTACTTTTCAGAATAACGGTACAAACCCCTCCATTGTACCGTTCGCCCCGTTGAATACTCTACTCTCATTACCACTGCAAATTGCAGTAAGTTCACATTTGTAGATCAATCGATATATATCATTTCTGAACTAGTTACATGAATGTTGATGGGTTTTCCCAAAAGATTGCATAGTTAGAGCTCCCAATGGCTGTATCTTCAGAACAGACTGCTACCCAACTTTTACCATCCGAAATCGCTCCAACACGATGTTGTAAGTTTATCGTTTGTGTAGAATAGAATTAGATTCAAACAAACCGTGACAGGAGGTCCAACACCTACTACCTCAAAGGGTTTTTCATTTCTTTGCCAAACATGGAGGTGCTACCTAGGCGTCATTTTAGAAATAAACAGAAATAGGGGGATTTCAGTTCATTAGTTGCTAAACGTTCCTTTGCTTTGTTTCATTTGCTCACCTTCCGAGCTCAACGGCTGCTTTCATAGTCCGCCGGCCGGCCGGCCGGCCGGCGTGCGTGCCGGCGGACTATGAAAGCAGCCAACCGCTACCGGCAGGCTGGTGTATATACCACTAAAAAACGCTTGATTGCCTGGATTTTCTTCGATAACTCTGAATTCCTTTTCAGAGACAAGCACAGGGGATCCAATTTCGGCTCCCGAATTCGGTGAGTGTTGATTTTTCTTTTGTATGATTATACCAACTCATTGCCTCGTGCGGTGATCTCAGCTGACCACACCAGGACCCAGCTTGTTTTCGAAAGGTTGTGATGAATGGTCCTCACACGACTAGTCGAGCTGCCGCGATGGCCCATATTCAACACTGTTTAATAAGGCAAACCATTAAAAAATTTAAGGACCCTGAAGTCGTCACTTCTCCCAAGGGTAAATGCATTGGCAAGCTCGAGCAGGAATTCAAGAATAACGATGCCTACTTCTCAGAAATCCAGGGACAGGTCGATGCTGGGAAAATCGACGAAGCCTACGGAATTTTCGTCAGAAAGGTATGTTCAGTTGACTGGACGCTTTGAAATCCTGTTGAATTCGTTGTGTTTTAAGGCCAAAGAACTGTGCGCTCCAGATCAAGTGGAACGCCTTAGGAAGTTACTAAAAAAGTACGAGAATTTGCAAGCAAACGTGCAAAACGTAAGGTGTTCCCCTCGTTCCCCTTCGAGCAATTATTGAATCGTTGATTTGGCAGCTGGCTAGCGGTTATCCGGTGAATGTGAGGCACGACGTGCTGAACTGGATGAGAGACGGCGATCTGATGGCTCTTATGAACTTCCTTGGACGTGAAGGCATGGTGAGTGCTGAGATCGTTTAGGGGAGAGTCTGGATGCAGGTTCGGATACGGCAAAGTATCGTTCCTCACTCATATCTGTTTATATGTTGGTACTACACGCTAATCGCCACGTTTTTTTTACTGGAAAAGAAAAAGATCGTAGTAGCTCTGAGATTCCCTCATCGCAATAAGGTGTGCGTCTGTCTCTCGGCCGACACTGGATTTCAAGTGGGCGCTAGAACCGATGGAGAATACGAAGTGGTGTTTTAAGTAATTCCTGTGTACGAAGTTGGAATAGTGGCAATAGGGTTGTCATGACGTACTATTAGGGAATTGAGCCCCGAATCGATACCAGCTTTGGTTAACTGCGGATTTCAACCCTCCCAGACTAGTTGTTAATACCAGACCCGTCTAGAAAATAAGAACATGGATTTGTGTATCAGCCGGCCCCGTCATTATATAGAACGATACGCATTCAGAGGCTGCTATAATTCTGTGCAGAAATCGGTTGCATGGCGCATCCCAAAACGAAATTGGTCAGTGCCAAATACTTCATCTCTTGCTTTTCTTTCCTGAACCTACTACATCAGATGTCATGTATTCATACTTTTCCAGGCTTCCATGGTCGATCCACAAAAGAGCAGCAAGCTGATGCAAACGTCATTTGACCTGACTGCGATGCAAATTGAACTTTTCTTCAGTCCTATATAGAGCTTCTATCCGAGATGGTATCGGGCTGAACCTGAATCGTCCTCAGTTTTAAAAATTGCTGCCTCATTGCCGAACTTAAGCACATGCTTTGGTCTGATCACATTCTCAGCTTACCTCACTATCCTGTGTACAGCTAATTTTTACAGTGTGAAGTAACATTTACTGTCTTTCAAAGTCATAATCTCTTGCCTAATCATTCATTTGGTTGTCTATGAATTAATATCTATCACTGCCGAAGTAAAAAAACTTTTATAATTTCCATTAATTGCTTTTGTGTAAGAAGGTCATGAGAAGAAAAATGCATGGGGTTCTACAGGGTACACCATTTCAAGCGTCCTGACGAGAGATACTAGAAAGGACCACGGGCATGACTGATGCACCACAGAATGAGCTCCATAAGAGCAGGTATGGGTCAGGATGCGCCATCGTGGTATCCTCGTCGCGTGCGCATCGCGACTCTGCACTCTCCAACCATGAACGACGCCGAAGTGAGGAAATTCGTGCTTGAGCAGCGCTTGTTTCGAGATCACAGTGACGGATGGCTGGGCGACTAATCACGAGGCTACAACGTTTCATTGGCGACGATCCAACGTGGCTTTGCCACCTTCATATTCGGCTCACTAATTTATTGAGGGAGAGGACGAAATGACCCGATGAACATACTAACCGACTGCACTGCGTTGTCGACTGGCAGGGACGCGGTGGGTACTACAAATTACCTGGCTTGTGGCTCGCCGCGTCGTGCTCCTATTAGTTCCTTTTTAGTTCTCAATGAAGAACTTATTACGGCTCCCATCACGCTTGTTTTCAGGCAATACAATCTTCTACATGTGCGACCACTTAGCCATTTAGAAACCACACATGCGAAAAAAAGAGTGTAGCTATCATACTCACGAAGAGAGTTTCTCGAAGGGTCAAGGTGTAAGATCCTTTTAAGAGCAGAGCTTTTGGGCGTTCCAAGCTGAGGTTTTCCTTGCGATCCAACCTAAGGGCGTCGTGTTGAGCAAATGTGCTCGAATCAATCGCCCGCGGCCGCTCGCCTTCTTTTGATCACTGGCCTCGGCCGGGAACTCTCCCGTATTGGTTTCGCACTACATTTACTTTGATCAATGTTTTTACTAGCATTTTGTCACTTATAATTTGAAGGCTTGTCATTTACCCAGATCTTAAAAGTATCAAATAGGTGTACCTAAGTTTGATGTACCCGATTTCTTATTTTTTCCCAATTGTTCTTTTTGACTCTTTTACTTTCATTGCACTGCGAACTTCTAATCGCAGAGTACATTCTTCAAATTAGGGCGTCATTCTTCATCTTAGTACTTGACAAATTTCGATTTCGGACTTACCATTAATTTCAAGTTAGGAGTAATATCCTTGAATTAAGAAATTTTCATACCTACTCAAGTTAGAAAGAAAGTCCGAACTAGTTTAGGATGATAAGATGACCAAAAAGGCCATTGTGGAATGTTCGGCAAAGTAGTAGACTTGTCGTTTCTCGGATTCTTTTTTCATTTCTCTCCATGAACATGCCTCTGACGACCTCTGCGCTCGTTTTCCAGAGTTCTCAGTGGTATCTAGCAGCTGAACCCGATACACTGAGCTGAATCTACAAATACACAAATCAAACAGATAATTGTCCCAGGGAGGTCCTAATTCTATTCTGTTCAAGCACATGCCTCACCAACAATCCTAGACTGTTCGTGAGATTGAGTACGACAGAAGAAGTTTGTGATGATTTCTCGGAGCTAGCTTGTCGAGAGAAAGGGCAGCAGGCAGGATTCGATATTGACATTTACTACAATAATGGCTCATCCACCCACTCTTCGAGCATTTGTTTATTTCGCGTGCTTCAATCATTTGCTGTCATACCATTCGAGGCTAAGTCAAAAATTTCAGCATGGACTCTCTAACACTTCTCCAGCAGTTGCTTGGGCAAACGCGCTACTTCTAATGCGTTTGCTCAAGCAACTGCTTTGGCAGCGATCCTTATTGGGTAGATTCCGTCATTTTCACATTCTTGTTATATTAACAATGCTCTACTTTTCTGAAAGAGTTCCTTCCGTTTCAATGCTGGATGCGGAGAACTTCAGATGGGTTTTACAACAGAATTGGAAATGACATAATCAGAAGTAGGCTCCGCATGGTATCATGATCGCCCTTTTGTCTTTATTGTACTTGCAATGATCGTAATCCACTGTGCAGTTTAAGAAAGTCTTTCAAACCCAGCCATGAATTTTCAGGTGTAGAACCATGTCTGGAGGAGGCAAGGATCGGATCGCTGTTTTCCCATCTCGAATGTACGTTTGTACTCTTTCAACTTATGCCAATGAATTATTTGAGAGACCGGTTGGACATATCTCTCTCTCCTTGAACATTTCGCGGAATGCCGTTGACCTAATAATGAGAAACTTGTTCGTGCCAAAAGTAGTTTTCCATAGTTTCCATGTTTAAGAAGCTGTAAAGTTGACAGAATACTAACATGACTTCTACTACGCCCAAACAGCGTGATGGCAGCAAGAATTCACTTTTTCAGGGCTCAGTCGGTCATGAAGATACGTCTGAAGGGAGCCCAAAAAGGTCATTCACTTCTGAAGAAGAAGGCTGATGCCTTAAACATGCGTTTCCGTGACATCCTTAGAAAGATTGTCGAGGTACTTTATGCTTTTCCGTGGTGTACTGCTGAACATCTGTCTTTCTGGTTTTCCTTTCGCGCAACGACTCAAACTATCTAATCGCATTATTGGTTATCTTTAGAATAAAGTCCTCATGGGTGAGGTCATGAAGGAAGCTTCTTTCTCGCTGGCTGAAGCGAAATTCACAGCTGGAGACTTCTCGCATACAGTCATTCAAAACGTCTCACAAGCCCAATATCGCGTTCGCATGAAGAAAGAAAACGTTGTAGGTCAGTGATTTTTTGTTGTTCGGAAAATCACTGGATCCTCTTTATCATAGCTTTCATTTTATTCATTTCTTTCACCGCATAGTTCGTAGCAGGTATCTCCTTCAGTTCTCTAAGTGCCCAACGTGTTAGGCAATTTTTATCTGCCATCAATAAACTAATTTTCTATGACCTCACACTTACCGCTTTATTCTGTATCAATAGTAAGGCGATTAATGTTGCGCTAGAATTCGTTGCGAAGTAACTTCTTCCGTCATTGACCTATTCATTCAATCAATACCGATCTCATAACTTTAAGGAGTTATGCTTCCTGTATTCGAAGCTTCGGCAGAGGGACCCGATGCTTACGATCTTACTGGACTCGGAAAGGGAGGAGCCAACATCACAAAACTCAAGAAAAACTATAACAAAGTAATTGGATTATTTATTATTGGTAACCGTTTATCCTCTTTCTACAAAGTCTACGAAGTGGTCCTCATAAGAGATTTCTCTCCGTTTTCGTAATCACCTTGGAAGTGGAAAAGTGCACATTCTTCTAGTAGTTCAGGTTGAATGGAAAAAGGAAGTTGAGATCCACTCCAAGTTCTATCGATTTTTTGTGGTTTTTCAGGCTATTGAACTGCTCGTGGAGTTGGCCACTCTTCAAACATGTTTCATCACTTTGGACGAGGCTATCAAAGTCACCAATAGAAGGGTGAACGCCATCGAACACGGTTTGTTGATTTAGAAGTTGCAGCGTCTTTGTGAATGTGACGAAATATTGGACTGAAACACATCTGGCTGCTTTGAATAGTGTCAACGGATGAAGTGAATGCAATACCATTTGATAGGGCGGCATGAATAGAAGCTTCAAGACAGTTTTAACCCTTCGACCGCTGTACTTCTTTTGAGAACTTTTTGAAGATTTTATGTTGAGGCTTTTGGTTTCGTTCCCTCGACGGTTTTTTCGAGTGTTAACCGCGGTGTGGTTTGAAGCATAAGTTTGCTTCAGGAATACTAGTTGGCTGCACAGAGGGCCCTGTTGCTCTGTTGCCGCAACTCTGTCCTAAAAGGAACATGGATGAGTTTTGAAACGAGTTCATTCATAGAAAAATTTCTTTTCTAAGCAAAGCTCCCGTTTCAAGAAGGGTGGAAATGGATATTCGTAGTGGTTCATTAAATCAGGTATAGCACCGTTGATTGAAAAAATGGGAAAAAGGAGAGGAAATTTAAAACATTATTACA